GTCATTGATCAGCTGCCTCCTGCACACCCACCACTGGGGATCGAGCCAGCAACCCAGGTATGTGCCCTGACCAGGAATTGAACCTCGATCTCCTGGATCATAGGTTGCTGCTCAACCACTGAGCCATGCCAGCCAGGCTGGGAAGCCCTTTAAATGTCCTTAGATTCTAAATGATGTCTTTGCTGGACAGAGTAATCTTGGTTGTAGGTCCTTGCTTTTCATCACTGAATATTTCTTGCCAACCCCTTCTGGCCTGCAGAGTTTCTCTTGAGAAATCAGCTGACAGTCGTATGGGAGCTCCCTTATAGATAACTAACTGCTTTTCTCTTTCTGCTTTTAAGATTCTCTCTTTGTCTTTAACCTTTGGCATTTTAATTATGATATGTCTTGGTGTGGGCCTCTGGGTTCATCTTATTTGGAACTCTCTGTGCTTCCTAAACTTGTGTGTCTATTTCCTTCACCAGGTTAGGGACCAACTTCATTCTTTTGCATGTAGATATTTAGTTTTCCCAACACAATTTGTTGAAAAGACTGTTTTTGTCCCATTGGATAGTCTTGACAGCCTTCTCAAAAATCATTTGACCATATATACAAACATTTATTTCTGGACTCTCTATTCTATTCTGTGGTAATATTCCCACTTTCATTTATGATTTTAATAAATTTTCTTCCATTTTTCTTAGTCCATCTAGCTAACAGTTTTGTTAAAGGATTAGCTTGGACACCACAAGTAGTACTTATAAACTTTCATGGNAGGAGAAAATACATTTACAGTACTGTACTATATTGGTGCTCTAAGTTTATATCATCTGTTTACAAGATGAAAAAAATGTTATAAGTGGACCCATGCATTTCAAACACATGTTGTTCAAGATTCAACTGTAATTGGAGCATATTTTTATTTTACTTTATTTATTTTTACATATATCTTTATTTCAGAGAGAGGAAGGGAGAGGGGGAGAGAGAGAGAGAGAAATTTCAATGATGAGAGAGTTGTCATTGATCAGCTGCCTCCTGCACACCCCCCTTCCTGGGGATCGAGCCCACAACCCAGGCATGTGCCCTGACCGGGAATCGAACCTCAATCTCCTGGATCCTAGGTCGATGCTCAACCACTGAGCCAAGCTGGGCAGGGCGCAATGCTTTCTTTAGAGCTCACAAACTGCTTCTGAGTTGAGCTTGAATTTCTCACCTCCTGCCTCAGTCCTGAAACTAAGTTTGATATAAGCTGTGAAGATTTATCTGGGGACATTGTCATTAGATGCCAGATTTGAATCAGGAAAAATAGGCTCCTAGTAGAAAGATCTTAGCATTTTTTGAACTTTGCTTTTCTTGTCAATGATTAGTTAAATGTAACTCTTGTGTAAATTACAGCATATATTTGCCTTTATCTTTTTTTAAAAAAAAACATATCTTTATTGATTTCAGAGAGAGGAAAGGAGGGGGAGAGAGAGAGATAGAAACATCTATGATGAGAGAGTCATTGATTGGCTGCTTAGCCTGCAACCCAGGCATGTGCCCTGATTGGGAATCGAACCCCGATCTCCTGGATCCTAGGTCGATGCTCAACCCCTGAGCCATGCCAGGCCGGGCTGCCTTTATCTTTAAGGAATAACATGGAACCAGATAGATTACTGTAAAATTTGCTATTTTGCAACAACACCCAAGGGCGGGGTCCATGATATATTCCTTTGATCACCAATATCTACTGGACACCCCTGCCTGCTGGGTGGTAAACTGAGCACTGGAAACCAGCAGTGAGCAAGACCAACATTGTCCCTGCCCTTATTTCTAGTGAGTAAGGCAGACACAAAACAGGTGTGATTGATTCAGGCAATATCCCCATTTCCTTCCTAATTTCAAAATTAAAATAAAAGAAATATCCTTGGTATTATAATTATGTCCGTAAGTTCATTCAGAAGAGAGTCTATCCAGATAGAAAGGAAGCAGAGAGCTTACCAGATGATTACAAAGCTGTCTTGAAGGGTGAATGGAAATTCAAACAGCAGTGTGATTGTAATCTTCTATAACAAAAATACTTTTTTCTATTTTAGCTTTTGTTCTAATATATTTTCCTTTATATTTATTTTACAACATTTAATTGTGTGTAAGATTGAAATTTTTACATATTCATGGTGAATCAAATCATTATGGAATGACCCTTTCAATCTCAATTAATACTTTTTGTCTTAGTATTTTTAGTCTAATATTAATGTAACTTATCTTGCTTATTTTGATTAGCAGGTGCCTGGCAAATTTTTTTCCATTCCTTTATTTTAAATATTTCTTTAGTTTTATGATTTGCTGGGTTTGTCATTAACAGCATATGACTAGATTTGTTCATTTTCATCCAAAATGACCATCTTTGACGTTAACTGCAGAGTTTACTCCACTAACAATTTTTATTGCTGATTAAGTAATAAAAAGTAAGAAAAAGTGAACTTCAAATGTGAACTTAGTCCTACCTTCTTACCTTTTGCTTTCTATTTTTCCTGCCCTTTCTATAATTTTTTCTAATTTCTTGACTTTTAAAAAATGGATTTATGTGGGGTTTTTTGTTTGTTTTTCTCATTGCCTACCTCATGATAAAAATAATAGCAGATAGTAAAATAGTAATAATATAAAGTTATTAAAAATAATTGGAAATGATAAGGGGATCAATATTCCTGCCATATACGATAATGCAATAATCGGTCACTCCGACTGTAAAACAGTGAGATGCTGGCATCAAAATAAACAAGTGTATTCATGTAGGCCTGTGGAGCGGTGTTCTGCAGAATGGCGCACCCTTGACCTGCCGGGTTTCTCTGATATCCGCTATTAGAACTTTGGACGACATCTCAGCTCCGCAAGGGGTCTTGAGCATGCGCACATACAACACATTCAAGAAGAGGCGGGGCAAAGGTCGCTACCGAAGCGCGAAGTAGCGAAGTAGCGTTTTCACGGCATTTTCCTCGAAGCTCTGTACAGTTTATCTCCGGCTGAGGTAATTTTTAAGGGCTTTGACCAGGGACTTTGAGTTTTGTGTTCGGAGGGGTGGGTGAGGGGGATTTTGAGGTTGATAATGGGGGTCTTTGGAGTTAAGATGGGGACTTGTTCTAATTCGAGCTGAATGCTCAGATCAGTAATTTCCGTCTTTCTTCTTTCCTCATATTCTCATCTTAAAGTTCCGTCTAAGACCACAGTTAGGCAAGCATTGCTTTCCTTTTTGTTATGTTCTAAGTGTTTTTTAATTTCAGTTGCTTTTCTGTTTATCAAAAGTTATTTAGAAGTGCCGTTTCAATTTTCAAAAGTTAAACCTTTTATTAATTTCGAATGTAACCTATCTGTGCCCTTTATTCATTGGAATGTATTTAGACTTCCTTTAAGGCTGCCAGGGTCGGTTTTTATTAATATTGCATCTCTAGCTCGAAAATAGTATAAATTCACCAATTGGTAATTGTTTTATTGAAATTGTGTATTTTCTTTCTCTGTGTGTGCTTGCTCCTTCAATCACTAAGGGTAATGATTTGTTTGCCTGTGTGCACATGTACACACAAACATTTTTTAAAATGTGTATATTTATATATTTTACTTGGTGTTACTGGGTACAGGTAGGAGTACATTTCAGAATTAAGACTGTCAAATTATTCTAGGTAAGTCAGTCAGGGCAGACACAGCACGGCCTGGCACATGCAGGTGGGGAGGGGAGACAGGGCTTGGCATGGCTCAATACTCGGAAGGTAAGGCAGAACTCGGTATGTGCAGAAATGGGGGGGCATATGAGGAAAAGAATCTGGTAAGGGAGCAGGGCCTGGCATGGGACAGGGCTGGGTATGTCTTGTTGCAGTGTATGGGTCCCACAAGGCTAGGAGCAATAAGGCAAGACAGAATGTGTAGGGTAGGGTTAGGCAGGCAGGGCCTGGAGGGACTAGGTGGACCGGGTGAGAAATGCTGGTGGGCGGAGCATGTCTAAAGGGTGGGGCTGTGTGTGTTTGGGTGGTCTTGGCAGAGGTGGCTTGTGTGGGCCCTGGGTGCCCCGCAAGCAAGATAGCAGGTGTGTTCTGGAGGGTGGGGCAGGGCAGGCTGAGCTGAGCAAATGTAAGGCGGTGGAGTCTAGCTTTTCTGAGCAGGTAGGCAGGGCCTTATGCATTCAGGTGGGCAAGCTGGGGCCAGATATACCAGCCAGATGTGTCTGGATAAGGTGGGCAAGCCGGGCCAAGTAGTGCCAGTCATTCCTAGGCAGGCAAGACCTAGTGTATCCAGACAGGTGCAGTGGTCTCCTCCCTAACTTTGGCCAGAAGGTGAGGCCAGGAGTGTTAGGGCAGGGTTAACCTGTGCCCATCCACTTAGTGCTGATCCAGAGCCTTCATCCCACCAACACAGGAATCCTACTTGTAATCCCTGGTCTCTGGTGAGTCCAGGACAGTATGGATGGGGGAGTGGAGCTAGTGTGAGGGTCTGCCCCTCAGCTCTTGCCTATAATACCCTCAGAGGCCTTGCCATGGTTCTACTGGCAACTGCCCACTCAATCACAGCTGCCTCAACTGCAAAAGGCCAGGATATCCCAGAAGTACCAGATGGTGGCAGTGGCATTGGCAGTAAAGGAGTCACCTCAGACAACAGCCATATCTCAGTTGTTAACTGAAAAGGATCTGCCTCAGGACTGAAAACTATACCAGGACTTTTTCATAGGGGACTTTTGACAATAAACATCTGATGAGTGTATGACAGAGAGTGTTCAAAAATCATTCAAGAAACAAGTTGGTGCCTGGCCAGCATGGTTCAGCGGTTGAGCATCGACCTATGATCCAGGAGATCAAGGTTCGATTCCCGGTCAGGGCACTTGCAGGGGTTTCAGGCTTGATCCCCAGGAGGGGCATGCAGGAGGCAGCCAGTCAGTGACTTTCTCTCATCACTGATGTTTCTCTCTCTTTCCCTCTCCCTTCCGCTCTCTAAAATCAATAAAATATATTTTAAAAAAAAAGAAAAGAAAAGAAGGAAGTTGGGATAATCTGAGAATGCGTCAATATATTCCTTGCACCACCTTGTATCAGAACTCACAACTTCAAGTAAGAGGTGATGAGACCCGTGGACAGGAGAACTGTCTTTAATATTTTGTAATACTCTGTTTTGTTAATGTACCCAAAATTGTGTATATATCTTATAACTGTTTTAGAAATTGGTACATAGGCTTCTATTACTAATTAGGTGGAGATTTTATATGTAAATGTTAGCAATGATAGTCCTTTTTCCGATGTTTTATTGGGGAATTAAATAGTATGATGCTTGGATTTAAAAAAAAGAAAGAAGTTGGGAAGATCTGTCAGCATTTTTCTGGCCTATAGCTCTGGATGAGTGACATATCCTTTGGGGTGCTAGCAAACATGATGCATGCAGAGGCATAAAATATAGTAAAACCCCAAGATAATGGACTAATTCGGGCTAGGGGGTGTCCATTAAAGCTGAAAGTACATATAAAATAAAGTAGTTTTTCTGAATGCATGTGTTAAAAAATTGACAAATTAGTTAACCTGTTTTTACTCAGTAGTTTGTGTAATTATAAACTTACACATTTGTGTAATTAAAATTAAGTATGTATGAAAAGTTTAGTTTCACAGAAAAGTTTTCTATATATATTACAGTAATTTTAAATTTATACTGAACAGATCTAGTAAATGTGTGCATTTACCAACCACTGCGAGTAAACAAATGCACACGGCTGGGGCATGGCTTAGTGCATGTTGCAACATTGGCCCGCACTGCTGCAGAAAGTCACACCATGTGACAAAAGAACCAATTACTGCATGTGTCAGTGTGATCACATGCTAATCATTCACTGAACATTGTTTACAAACGGTGACACTTGGATTTAAATATGCAGACTATAGTTGTAAATATGTAATATTTATGTTGGTGAAATTACTACAGTATTTTTTACAATGTACGGCCTATTTGCTAAAATTTGTTAAAAACAACAGTGAATTAATAACAAAAAAATAATCTGTTAATTTAATTATAAGCAAACCTTGGTTAAAAGCATTTTAAAATTAACAGGGTGTTGATTTTTTCACATATAACATACAGACCAGATATTTTGTCTGTTAAATTGGAAGTCTGTTAAATCAAGGTCTGAAAAATCAAGCGTTTACTGTATACTTAAAAATTGGGGCTTCTGCTTTTTTGGTGCTTTTGGAATCCAGTCTCCATGTGAAAAAACACAGGCTAGCATGGCTCCATTACTTCCATTGACCCATCAACCTCCAAACATCTGAGTGAGGCCATCTAGGACCAAACAGCCACTAACTGACTACAACCATATGGAGAAACCCAGGCAAAACCAGCAGAACTGCCCAGCTGAGCCTATCCCAATTGTCAATCTACGGAATCTTGAATTAATAAATGACCGTTGTTTTATCCATTAATTTGAAGGATGGCTTGTTACACAGCAAAGCAGATTTTTTTTTTTTTTTTTTT